GCGTAAAAGAGCATTCGTAGGTGCTAAAACGGAAAGGTTGCAAAGGAAAGGCGTCCTGCGGCTGCATAGCGCCGTATCGCGACTTTTCGCCGTTGTTTCCATAGCGACCACATGGACAAAATCCGCCATAAATCGGTCATCGTATCGCGACTTTTCCACAGCGAGGCGCCGTCACCTCGCTATGAAATTGCTACTAGGGGATGCGCTCCTACGATCATGCTGCTTTCAACATGGAATCTATTGCCTGTGGCGGGAGGCATCTGCAGAGCTCTTTTTTGAGGATATCCGGGGACAAACGTTGAAAGCCACGGTTGACGGAGACAGCCAGGAGGACCCACTCAGCAATCCGTTTGTCGACCCTGTTGTTGATGCCCATTGGGCGGCTCCTGCCTGTTGGTGTTCTTTAGATTTTTCTCGATTCAGTGCTGGTTTATTCACCGGAGTAGACGCACCCGAGGTCAAGGCTATGTCAGAAGACAGTCTGGATAACTCGGTTATTCTTTGTGTTTCTATAGCAACAAACAGTAAGATTAGCGAAGCACAATAGAGTTAATAAGGCGGGAAATAAATTGAAAGTGGACGTACATTCGAGGTGATAAGACGAGCAGTCAGCAAATGACGCCAGAGTGTGGTGGTCGGTTTACAAGCGAGCGGCAGCAAAGAGCAATAGACAATGGACAAAGAACAATGCACAAAGAATGACGAGAACCGACGAATAGGGGTACAGAGACAAACACTGGTTGGCATGAGTAAAGTCTGGTTACTAACAAACGGTTAGTAGCAAAAATACAAGAATATAAATTGACATCAGGGATGTCACTACCAGTGCCCGGGCTACGCCAGGCCAGACAAATACCAGTGGAGGTTCTGCAACGCCCACCTCAGGTCCAACGGCACCCGGTTGGACAACAGACGGTGTCAGTGCAGTAGCTCATCCCTTCGCCTTAAATACCAACGCGATAGCTAAAGCCTCTCAGAGTCCCTGTGTACAGAACTTGTTGGAAGTCATGAGTTTTAAACCTGACACACGGGAACTTTTGATGACTAGCAGCTCTTCTTTTGCCAGGTCCGGTAACATCATATCTCTCTTGGCCAGTGAAGGCGCGCAAAGTCATTCTGACACCAGGAGGCGTAAAGCATCAAAATGGGCTGTCTTCATTCTTCTATGCGCCTACAACTGTTACTTGCAAAGGCAATGGCCTCATCTGTCACAGGTCTAGCTTGCCTTTAGAACGAAATGCGTAAATGCGCCGGTTTGTTTTGGAGACCCGGCTTTAGGCTTCGCCGGCAGCTGCGAAAGCACTGGGCAGCCAGTATTCGAGCGACATTACCATCAAAGGCCAGATAAACTGAATTACTCACTTCGGACACGCTTGCCGTCAGTTTTCCACGATACCTTTGTTTCACACCAGAAACGCGGGCCCATTTGATGCTCAGTCTTGACGAGTCACTGGTTGAGCCACTGATCCGTACTCCGCTAAATGTGTCCGTTAGTATGTAGAGTCGCACAGGAGTGGCGTTTACCAATCACACAAGCTGGCAGAAAGGAGTACAGACGTTTTGTTTTGCCTCCGAGCTTCGGTCCACAGCCATTTCAGTGACGATTAATAAATAATGAAGAAGTCCTACTGGGAGTCAGATCTAAGATTATCGCGCCTTGCGTGTGCAGAATGGCTAGCTGGTGACGTCGGTAAGTGAGAAAGTTTTCTTTAGTTTCCAACACTTCGCCAAGCATACTCTTTCACTGGACAGAGAAGAAGAGTAAGTTTACTTTGAGAGCATTGTTCCAAATTTTTCAACAAAAATATTAACTTCTCTGGGCGGCCTGAAAACAGATATGTAAATTCAGAATACAGAGAAGGCGAAGTGCTAACTTAAATCGGTATAACTATTTTGTCGACAAATATAACCTCATTTTCAGGATTTTAGTCTCATTACACACCAGACAGCGTATCAGTGCTGACATACGATGCATGACATATCTCATGAAGTGTTGCCCGAAATTCTGGAATGCATTTCCGATTATGAAGGATTCCTTAAGTGGGGTTCTTATACTGATTATCATACAGCATAACCCTATCACATTTCGGACTTGCAAGGACGTCGGCTTTTGAATGCACTTCTTTCTGGCCTCCTGCAGAAATCACACTTGGTAATAAATGACTACTTATGTAGCATGCATTTTTCCTATTGATTTTCGATTGTCGTATAAATTCAAATATATTTTACAGAAAGTATGCACAAAATATGCTTTATTTTGTTCATTTGGTAGGAAATCCCATTGTCTTCATATTTTATTTCCAAAGAAAATGTATATTTTGCTTTTAAAAAAGTTTTTAATTGTGAGATTTTTAGCACCGTGCGATGTCCATGCATGCAAGACCGCACATGTCCGTTTACTAATGCTCCTTATGAAATGTACAAAACAGTCCGGATCCATTGCAAAATTTCATGAACTCTATATAGTATCTTTTTAAAGACATAAAGGAATATAGGAATGTCCTTACGCGGAAAGAATGCACCTTGTAGACAGAAATTGCTAAACGCTGATGCAATGGCAGATCAGGCGGAAAATTACTCGGGAATTGGGAAACTCTTTAAAAGCAAAATATACACTTTCTTCGGAAATAAAATGTGAAGACAATGTGATTTCCTACCAAATGAACAAAAGAAAGCATATTTTGTGCATGCTTTCTGTAAAAT